CCCCCCCCCCCCCCCCCCCCCCCCCCCCCCCCCCCCGCGCGGGGGGGAGAGGGGGGTCCCGGAAGGGGACCGGGGGGGAGCAGGGATTCCTTTCTGTCCCTACAAAAAGCACTCTGACCCCCTCCCCAGGGTAAGCAGGGACACCTCCTATGGAGGGGGTGACCCTTTAGGAAGAGCAAGGTGCCCACCCCCCTCTCCAAAAGATGCAGAGCACCCTGGGTGGGGTAGCAAGGAGCCCCTGCATAGAGCACCCCAGAGGCACCCCCGTGGAGAAGCAAGGATCCCCATTTTTGTGCCCCCTCCCCAAAGGTACAGCAATCCCAGAAGGACACGGCGATGACCATGGACCCCAACCTCAAAGGCACAACGTTGCCATGGGGGTAGCAGGGACCCCTCCCAAAGGGTCAGCGTACAGGGAGTGGGGAGGGGAAGGCAGGCAGCAGGGAGGCCTCCTCTGTGCCCCTCTCAAGGCACAGTCACAATCGCTGGGAAGAGCAGGGCCTCCCCCAAACGGGCAACAGCCCCACGGGGAGCGGCAGGAACCCCTCCTGCACCCACCCTATACAAGCAGTGACCCCCGAGGGGCACCACGTACCCCCTCGCCACCCAACCAAAGAAGGGGGAAACCCTCAGGGAAGAGCACGGATTCACCCCTCAAAAGTGCAACGGCCCAACGGGGGGGAACGGGGATCCCATTTGCACCCCCCCCCTAAAAAGAGCAACATCCTCTGAGGGACACCAGGGACCCCCCCCCTAAAATAACAGGGGGCCCCCTGAGAAGAGCAGGGCGCCCCTTCCTAAGGGCAACGGCCACACGCAGGGCTCAGGGACCCCTTCTGCACCCCCGTAAAGTGGCAGTGACCCCCGAGGGACCCCCTGGAGTCAGACGGCCACCCCCCCAGGACGCGGTTACCGCACAGCGCACCCGGCCCCCCAGCAGGGGCCCGCAGGGGCCTCGGGGCTCACTAGGCCTCAGGCGGGGGGGGGGGAGGGGGGAGCAGGCCGCAAACCCGGGCCCGACCGCTACCGGCAAAGATAAGAGGGGAAAGAACGACCCCTCCCCGCTCGGCGGTCCCGCACAGACCCTTTCGCTGCCGTTCCCGGCCAACGCTCAGACGCGAGCCCCGTGTTCCCCAACTGCTCCCCCTCCGCCGGCCCTGAGCCCAATCGTCGCCATCTCAGTGCACCGCCTCCAGATGCTTTACGGCAGCGCGGCGTCCTTTACGGCAGCGCGGCGCGCTTTACGGCACCGAGTCTCCTTCTACGGCACCGGCCGCTGTGCGACACCGCGGTACCACCCGCTCCCCGCCCCGCCGTCGCCACGGCAACGGAGGCCGCGCCCCCTCCCGTTGTGTTGCGGGCGGGTCGAAGGTCGCCTCGCGCGTGGCGCTGTTCTCACGTGACCTCCTGCTTCCCCCTCCCCCCATGTTTTTGTAGGGCCTCAATCCCCACCTGTGTTATTGTAGGGTCCCATTCCCTTGCTGTGCTACTGTAGGGTCATATTTCCTACCTGTGTTACTGTAGGGTCGCCCCATGTTATTGTAGGGTCTCAGTCCCCACCTGGGTTATTGTAGGGTCCCGTTCCCCTGCTTGTGTTATTGCAGGGTCACCCCATGTCATTATAGGGTCACCCCATGTCATTGTAGGGTCCCATTCCCTTGCTGTGTTACTGTAGGGTCATAATCCCCACCTGTGTTATTGTAGGGTCACCCCATGTCATTGTAGGGTCCCCCATGTTTTTGTAGGGTCCCCCCATGTCATTATAGGGTCACCCCATGTTACTGTAGGGTCCCACTCTCCTGCTGTGTTACTGTAGGGTCACATCCACCAACTGTGTTACCATAGGGCCGCCCCACAGGTCACCTTGTTACTGTAGGGTCACTCCCTGGCCCTCCATGTGCTACTGTAGGGTCACCCCATGACCTCCCCCATTATCATAACATCATCCCATGTTATTGTAGGGTCACCCTGTGTCATTGTAGGGTCACGTGTCCCCCTACCGTGTTATTTTAGGGTCACCCCACGGTTTTGTAGGGTCACATTCCCCACCTGCATCATTGTAGGGTCACCCCATGACCTTTGTGTTACTGTAGAGCCCTGTCCTCCCTTATGTTATTATAGGGTCACCCCATGACC